CATCAAAGTAATAAAACATAGGGGAAGCAAATGCTTCTCCTCCTCAACATAGAATTGAAAATAAAATGAATTTTAAAATCCAGGTTGTCTCCTCTGTAGCACTTTTATTTTACATCTTTAAGTTGGATGCCAGAAATGAGTTGTCTCCCATGAAGTGCTCTTTCTTTTATGATTTTGAGCTAGACATAGCTCATCATCCTTCAAGGTCCTCAACTTAAGGCGTCCTTGCAATGTAGTCAAAAGTGTGTATCTATGTAGAAGCGTTTTGGTGATCTAGAAGTGTAAAATCGTAAGTTTTTAAGCTTTAAAGCGCGTTTTTAACTACATTAGCTATAAAACTATGATTTTGCATAGAAGCGTTTTGGTGAACTAGAAACGTAAAACGTAAAACGTAAGTTTTTAAAATTTAAAGCGCGATTTTGACTACATTGCTTCCCTGAAATCCAATGTTTTGATTGGAGGCTCCAAGTGTGTACCATCTTTCTTCTTTGTTTGGCTTGATAAGGCATGAAGTAATAGCCACCTTAGTCTCCACCTAGCAACTTTTACCTTGCAATTTGAATTTTCAATTTTTTTCATATGGTAGAGGTAACGATACAAGGATGGATTCATTTATTCCGCTCTTTTGGTTAGATATGATGCTACGGTCTCATAGCTCTCTAGAAATGATGCAAAGGGATATTCATCAAATAGTTTATTAACATGTGGCTTGACTCCTTGATGCATATCCACCTTAATTTCGAATTTTTCTTCACGGTTTCCAACTTTAGGAATATCATTATCCATCTTTTCACCAAGAGTGCCCTTGTGAATGGTGAACTCTTCTTGCTCAACCCTTACTTCTTCAATGTTCATGTTTTACAAGGTTTGTGTAGATCCCCGTGAAGGTGATATAAGGGGATCTAGACGGGGTTTTTCATGAGCATCATTGCTTGGGGTAGGTGGGATGGCTACTCCTTACCGTCATGAGTATGCTTACATCATAATGGCGTTATTAGTGATTGCGTCAAAATATCATCCCATAACCGAGAATTGAGAAATTATCATCATAGAGCGTTAAATGAATGATATCGGGGATTAATTAAATTAGTCATGTGGATTTGAGTAGTAAAATTTTATAGAATATTGGATTAAGGATGATGTTCGAATAATGTGAAGAATGAATTGCTTATATGGTGTGATAGACTGAGTCAGAAAGAGCCTAAATTATGATAATTAATTATGATGATAAATAGGTTGTGATTTGTGTATGAGGTATGGATGAACGAGACATGAAAATGTCTAAGCGATGGTAATAAGAGTGATGATTATGACTCTGATGATGTGATGTGATATGAAGTGAACTGTTGTGAATTCTTGTTTGTATGTGTGAATGACTCCGTTGATGCTGTTGATGATCACGAGAGTGATGATCATGATGTTGATGATTATTATGAGATGACGTTGATGATTATGGAGATGATGATGAGTGTGGTGATAATGAGGAGAATGCTTGATAATGATGATGGAATTGATGTGTTGTGAAGTGAAGTACATTCTTCCATGATTGTGTGTGTTGTGAACATTTGAACCCCTACGACAACTCATGCACTGTGAGTAGAAAAGTGATGATGTGATAAGTCCCCGTTAAGGACTTGAGTGACTAAATGCTGACTGCCCGGGCTATGGGAGAGTTTTCACCGATGCCTTAGGTTGACAAAGGAGGAGGAGCCTATGCATTGAGGAGGAGGTGGAGAAGGGGTGGTGCGGAAAGAAGTTAGGAAGTGCATGCCTAGCCGAAGGGGAATTGTGATGTGTTGCATAATGCATTATGTGTGATTGATCGGTCCACCTGTGATTGGTATAAGTTATATGATTGAGATGAGAAATGTGATAGATTTTACTATCTATAAGATTACAAAAGTGGATATGTGATATGGAAACTGATTGAGACTGTAAATTTTGAGGTAGAAGACCTCGTGGGAAGGAAATTTTAAGATCTTGCTTAGTAGACGAAATTTGACTTCACTCGTTATCATAGTAGTATTGATATTGTTAATATATTAGGATTTACTCATTCAGTGACGCCTCACCCCGTCAATATTTTTCCCATATCAATACCTAAGTGGGTAAAGACCATGGGACGAAGGAAGTTCAAGCTTGATGATGGTGAGGTGGATGGTAAACTGAACTATCCAAATTGTTTTACACGAGACATTTGAAGATTGGGTTTCCCAAAACTTTGTTATGAACCAAGAGTTTATGGATTTTGATAAATAATTAAAGATATGCATAAATTTTTCATGGTTTCAAATAGAGAAAAGTGGTTGGGTGTTACGCATGTTGGATAGCATAATGGAATGCCGTCTCAATTGATGGTAAAGGATAAGTTGGTCCTTACTCGACCATACAACATTCAAACCAATAATGAATTGAGTGACAAATTCGTTTTTCAATGTACTGCTTAATAGTAGTCTCAATGACACAATTTGCAGTATTGTTCCTTATCGACATAAATTGTATTAACTCTTCCTAATAGCCTTTTAATTATGAGAAGTATTGATTTCACATAATAGTTATCTTGCTTAAAGATGTAGATTGTAGTATGCAAATCATTGATGCAGATGTCATCTTATCTGCCTATCCAAAGCGATGCTTCAGATCTTCCCATAGAATCAGAAATTGTCTTGTGATGAAATGCTATCAACCATAGTTGGATCCAAGGAGCTAAGAATGAGAAAATACACAAAGGTATTGTTATGTTACCAAGCTGAATAGTTTGCATAAAAAAGATCTGAAGTGGGAATCGACCCACTAATGAAGCTGAGTTTGTTTCTACTTTTGAGGGCTACCCGGACTTTCCTGCTCTAGAGGTTGTAGTTAGAGGTACCAACCAGCTGGATTGGAAAGACCATGGGATTCATTAGGGTTTACGTAGTATGAACCCGCCATAATGCCAGTTAGGGAAGTCATAGCACCGGTTGTCGTAGTGGAAGATTGTGGTGTTGTTTCTATGATCGGCTATGAGAAGTGGGAGGAAGAAAGAATGTGGCTATGGTTATGAAAATCCTAGATTCTTGAACCAAACTTTGATACCATAAGAAATCTTTTGTCGATTAGATTGTGGAAGAACCTACAAAGGTTCTTTGTGTCTCAAGAACTATCATACATTCTCAGTCTTCTTTGAAACGAAGGAGACTAACACAGTTACCACCACATAATTACAACAATAACTAACATAATCTAATCTATCTACCAATATAAAAACAACACGTCTATCTGTAAAGTAAAAATGGAACTAGGATTTCATACTAACTAAGAAGATATTGTCTCTGCTCAGATCCTTCATTGCTTCTGAGAGAAAGTGACGTCATCGTCCCAGAAGCTCCTTAGTACTGGTGACGATTAGGGGCAAAATGGCCCCCTGTAAATTTAAGAAAACTCTAAAGTAGGCATAAACAATACATGTTCAATATTGTAGACTAGCAGTAAATGTGCTATCAGCAGACTGGCAAGGTTTTTGAGAACCTGGGTTCGATTTCCAGTTCTCCTTCGTTTTATACTTGTACACTTTTAGTATAACTAGGCGGTGATGTCACGCCTTGTCGTGATCGGAGATGATATTGACATATGGCCATGCATTATGTGACCCCTTATATATTTTGTTAGTATTATTAGTCTAAATTTAATTTTTTATTAGCAGTTGTATTAGTAATATTGAATAGAAATTATAATATTTATACACTTTTAGTATAACTAGGCGGTGATGCTACGCCTTGTACACTTTTAGTATTATACTTGTACACTTTTAGTATAACTAGGCGGTGATGCCACGCCTTGTCGTGAGCGGAGATGATATTGACATATGGGCATGCATTATCTGGCCCCTTATATATTTTGTTAGTATTAATCTAAAATTAATTTTTTATTAGCAGTTGTATTAGTATATTGAATTGAAATTATAATATTGACTGAGAAAAGATATATGGCGGTCAACATTCAATTTAAAATATTTTGAAAATTTTGGATAGTAAATGATATTTAGCTAAACCCAAGTAGACCCATTGATCAGGGGTAGGGTATGGGTGACATATATATGGGTTTTGAAGTTTGTAGATGGGTTTTGGTAGGGTATTGATATTTACTTACGTAATCTAAATGTGTATGATTTGGGTATGAATACCCATTTATTTGAGGGTGTTTTAATTCAACATACACAAATTAGAGCTATTTGTAGATCTTCAAAAGTTTAGGTACCAAAATATAATACACTAAAATTTTAGGTACTAAAATATAATATTCCATCAATATTTTGAGGACTTATATGTAAAAAAAACAAACTATAATTTGCAAAGTTGAGGCTATGGTGATGTATTTAAGATGATAATTATTTACTTTTTTATAGAAAAATGAAACTATTTATTTGATATGTGTAGATACCTAGCCCAACATTCCATGTATAATTGTTGAAAATTCTAGCTCGAGTGAAAAAGTTCACGCCTTCAAATCCCATATTCGAAGATGACGACTTTCTAATAAGTAATAACCATATTTATTTATTTTTAATTGGACTCGACAATGACATTGAGCTGAAAAGGTTTATGGTTTAATTGTTAATTCTCTAGACTATTGGTGAGTCGTGTATGGACCCGTTCATACTTGTAATTAGAATACATGAAAATAGGGTAAATGACAAAATTGGTCACTGAAATTACTAAAAATGTCATGTTTGGTCACTAAAAATATTTAATTCCATTCGTGGTCACTATGTTTAGTAAAATATGTCCTGTTTTGTCACTCACCGTTCAACTCCGTTAATTTTGTCTGATGTGGCAGTCACCTCTTAAAGTTGACCATTAAATGTATGACGTGGCAAATAAAAACTAATCAAAAGATTAATTTTAAATATTCCACCTCAATATCACTATTACTAAAAAAAATATTCATTTTAAACCACTAAACCCAAGCAGCGCTGATCTTGTCTTGGTATCTATCCAATTGCTCCCAGGCCCCAGCGTCGTGTTCACGGCAAAGTCCTCGCAATTCGAATTATTTCTCAGACGACTCCCTCCGGTAAAGGACTTGAATCGGAGCATTTGCTAGTACCACCCACCGGCTGGGTTTCTTCCACGGTGGAGACGGTTTCGGGGTCTTCATCGTCGTAGGAGTATAAGTCTGGGGCGAGCGGACACTGTGTGCGGCGGTTGCTCTGAAGGGTAAATCGACCGGGGACAGGTGGGTCTTTGGTGCGAGGGCAGGACTTGAAGAATCAAACGATTGGGTCGGAGAGCTCCAGCTGATTCTTTTCTTCTTCCTCCGCCTCCTCGTCGGCATCTTCATCAGGTTGGTCTACTTCCACTATTAGCCACGACCAGTTTGTACAGTTATTATTTTTTTTGGTTACTTTTTGTAATCTTCCATATATACTCACAGACTAGTAGAAAAGTATTTATTGGATTGGTAGTCTCGTGTACCAGGTAACACAGCAGCTTCTCCATTGTTGCGGCTACATAGTGAAAACCCTAAACTAAGAGCTCTGCTCTCCGGGGACTAGTCCCAATCTTCGGGGAAACCACGTAAATCGTCGCGTTCTTTATTTTTCGCATACTACTTTTCTTCATAGTATCAGAGCAGTAATCTTTCCAGCATCTTCTTCTTCGTTGATTGCCATGGGCAAGGAAGAGGAGTCCAGCGGCGGCAAGTCTGTTGAGTCTATCGAATCCAACGTTATCCCGATCAGCTCCCCTCTCTACCTGCATCCCTCGGAGAATCCTGCACAATTTTTCGGCAGTGATCTGTTGAACGACTCCAACTACGGCGAATGGGTTAACGATATTACCGAAACCCTAATAGCTAAGAACAAAATGGCTTTTGTTGATGGCACCCTACCTCGCACCAAGATTGGTCCCGCTCATCATAGAGAGGCATGGGATCGATGTGATAGGACTGTCAAGGGATGGTTAAAGACGGCCATGTCTCGCGAAGTCCGTTAAGAACATCTCAAACGGCTCGTGCTATATGGATGGATCTACAGAAGCGCTTCAGCAAAGGGTCTGCGCAACGCGCTTATGAGCTTCGACACACGCTCGGATCCTTACATCAAGAGAAACAGTCTGTTTTGGCTTTCTACACTCGGCTCCGGGCTCTTTGGGACGAGATGCAGGCCATCGATGTGACGCCACGGTGTTCTTGCGTGGGCTGCACATGCGGTGGATGCAGCTGCGATCTGCCGAAGCAACATCAAACTAAGACTGAGACCGAGCAGCTCTTCGAGTTCCTCATAGGGCTTGACGACACCTACTCCGTCGTGCGGTCGCAGATCCTGGGCACTCGACCTACACCCACTCTTGCTGAGGCGTACCAGATGGTGTCCGCCGAGGAACAACATCTCCAGCTCACTGGCGGACGGTGACCACCAACTGTTGACACCGCCGTGTTCCAGGACAACTCCAAAAAGGAACCTCGTGCTGTACGTGATGATTGCGAGCGCCCTTGTTGTGCCCACTGCAATAAATTGGGGCATTCGAAGGACACATGCTATCATCTCATCGGTTATCCAGCTGGCCACCCTCGTGCGAAACAGGACGAGGAGAGTTCTGGGTCAAGCTCTCGGTGTCCCAAAGAAGCCCATGTGGAACCCGAGGTCTCGCCTATTCCGGGCTTGACGGCGTCCCAGTTTTCCCAACTTAAGCAGTTACTTTCAGCAGAGACTTCGTCAACACCAATGACTCATATGGCGGGTAATGCTCCTGACTTGTATGAATGGCTCATAGACTTAGGTTGTAACGAACACATCGTGTGTGATATCTCATGGTTGAGTTCTGTAGACATGGATTTTGTTCACTCACAAGTTCGTATCCCTGATGGTAGGGGAGTCGCAGTTCAGGGCATGGGTTCTGTTGATCTCTCTAGTTCTATTAGACTCAATCGAGTGCTATATGTTCCAGAATTCAAATGCAATCTTTTATCTGTCAGCCGGTTAACTCAGGACCATAACGTAGCAGTGACATTCTTGCACAATTTCTGCATTATTCAGGCTTTACCTTCCAGGACGCTGATTGGAGTGGGACGGCTTAAAGATGGATTGTACTATTTGCGCCAGTTTGAGGGTTTCTCGAGCTTGTTACCAGCGACTCCTCCCTAGGCTTGCAAGGTGGTTCGGCCAGCTGTTTCCCGGGATTTATGGCATGCCCGTCTGGGGCATCCATCTCTTGATAAAATTTTTCATTTAAGAGATTTAGTGGATTGTACTTGGGATACTCGGGATTCTTTTCATTGTGATTCTTGTCTACGTGCGAAGCAGGCACGAACACCTTTTCCTAGCAGTTCAATAAAGACTAGCCATTGTTTTGATCTTATTCATGTTGATATATGGGGTCCTTATCGAACTCCAACACTTGATGGGTCGCGCTACTTGTTGACTATAGTGGACGATTATAGTCGTTCAACCTGGATTTATTTGATGAAATTTAAATCTGATGTTGAGCGCTATCTCATGATGTTCTGTCAAATGATTCCTACTCAGTTCGGCGGCAAAATTCGTCGCATACAGGCTGATAATGGTCTCGAATTTCAGACCTCTTCCTTACGCAGTTATTATGAGGAGTTTGGCATCGTTCTGCAGACTACATGCACCGATACTCCTCAACAGAATGGTGTCGTGGAGCGGAAACACCGTCACCTGCTCGAGACTGCGCGTGCACTTATGTTTCACGCAGGTCTCCCGATGCGCTTCTAGGGGGATTGTGTGCTTTCAGCGGCTTACTTGATCAACCGTATGCCATCCCCTGTGACCACTGTTAAGACTCCGTTTGAGCTTCTTTTGGGTCGGCCTCCCACCTATGCGCATCTTCGCAGTTTCGGGTGCTTAACCTACACCAAAGACACCCATCATAGCCTCGATAAGTTCGGTGAAAGGGGGGAGAGCAGGTGTCTTCCTCGGATATCCCGGCACACAGAAGGGCTATCGGGTTTACGACTTGCATACACGGAAGATCATCGTTTCACGTGATGTTCGTTTTCATGAGGATATTTTTTCCATTTCTCCTCAAGGCTAGTGCTGGTCGTTCCTCTCCTGGGAATTCAACCATTCCCACTATTGAGAACCTCCGCCCCATGCGAACTCCGCCTTCCATTGGCCTCCATGTGGACATGCATGCTGATGATGACCCAACTGATCACGTTGGTGAGGAGGGCTATCCCATGAAAGACGTGAAGGATGGTGGCTCACCCATTTTTCATTCTCCTCATGGAGAGAATGATACTCCTCTGGAACCCCTTTTGGATATTGGTGATGTCGCGCACGAGGACATCTCTCATGCACCCGCTGTGTCGACGGCAGCTCCCTGGCGGAACCCTCTTCGTGATCGCCGGCCCCCGGCTGGCCTCACCATTTATGAGGTAGATCTTCCTCACATTGCCTCCAATGTTTCCTTTCCTATGTCCATCCATGTGAGTTATGCTCGTTTTTCTGACCATCATCGTGCTTTTTTGGCTGCCATGTCCAAAAATGACGAGCCCTGCCATTTTTCCCAAGCTGTCAAACACGCACATTGACGGGAAGCTATGCAAAAGGAAATACTGGCTCTCGAATCTCAAGGGACTTGGACACTGGAACAATTGCCTCCTGGTAAACGTCTGATAGACTGTAAGTGGGTCTATAAGATCAAGTACAAACCGGATGGCACTGTCGATCGTTATAAAGCCCGTCTCATTGCTAAAGGCTTCACGCAGTTGGAGGGCATCGACTTTCATGATACCTTTGCCCCTGTTGCCAAGCTCGTTGCAGTTCGGGTTTTATTAGCTCTTGCCGCTAAGCGCGGGTGGTCTCTTCATCAGCTCGACGTCAATAATGCCTTCCTGCATGGCGATTTGGACGAGGAGGTTTATATGAGGGTGCCTCAAGGTTTTGCAGAAGTAGGAGATTCCCGGGTTTGTCGCCTTCGCAAGTCCTTATATGGACTTCGCCAGGCATCTCGCAATTGGTACACTAAATTCACTGATGCCCTGCTCGAATTCGGCTTCACCAAGTCCAAGGCCGATCACTCCTTGTTCATTTACAAGGACTCCGCCACCTTTGTTCCAGTTCTTATATACGTTGATGTTGATGATGTTGTCATTACTAGGGATGACTTGGACTTCATTGCTCGTTTCAAGGACTTTCTCCATCAACGCTTCAGCATCAAAGACTTAGGTGCGCTCAAATATTTTTTGGGTATCAAAGTGGTGCGATCTCCTGAGGGCATCGTACTCAGCCAGCGCAAGTACACCTTAGACATACTTGCTGACGCTGGGTTGGGTGTGCTCACCCTAGTGCCTTTCCCATGGAGTCCACTCACTCGCTCACTCGTCCAACGGAATCTCAGGCTTCTGATGTGAGTTCTTATCGTCGCCTCATTGGTTGGCTGCTTTATCTCACTATTCACGCGTCCTGACATTTCCTACTCAGTTAATCTCCTGAGCCAATTTGTACATGCTCCGAGTCCTGATCATGTTGTTGCCGCTCATTGCATCTTGCGGTACCTTAAAACTGCTCCCAGACAAGGTCTCTTTCTGCCTTCTGCAGATTCTCTCGAGCTCCTTGCTTATAGTGACGCAGACTGGGCCGGTTGTCAGTTCTCTCGCCGCTCCACAACAGGGTACTACATACTCTTGGCGGTGCTCCGATCTAATGGCGTGATAAGAAGCAGCGAGTTTTTGCTCGATCCTCCGCTGAAGCTGAATATCGCGCTATGGATAGCACCACCAGTGAGATTGTCTGGCTACGGTTCCTACTCGGTGAGTTACAGGTGTAACACCCCCGAATTTTGGATTAGGTTCGACCGAATGATTGGATCGATGGTTACGTACGAAGGGTTGCAACCGCGGTTTATGAATAATAATATTATTACTATTATTATTATTATTATTAACAAAATAAATATACATATAAACCGAGAGGGCGCTCGGCCCTCAATGATTTTCCAAGAAAACCTCGTCCATCCCGTCCCTTTCTCACGTCTTCATCAATTCCCTACCCCCTCATCATTTCTCCACCGACCCAACAAGGAAAACCACCGCCACCAATCAAAGGGGCCGACCCCTGATCTCCTTTCTTGCTCTCCTGTGATTTCTGGGATACCCAGAAGAAAAAGATCAAATTTTTACGACAAGATGAAGGAGGGCAACGATGGGTTTGTCCGCGCGGATCAGATTGATCTCGAGAGCCTTGACGAACAACTTGAGCGCCATCTCAGTAGGGTTTGGACTATGGACAAGAACAAGCGATCTGAAGATTCCAATCTTCCTCCATCTGCTGCTGGTGCTGCTGTTCCAACTACTACTACTTCCCTTCACGCTTCAAAACCTACTTCCATGGCCGCCACTACCACCGCCACCGCCGCCTTGACTAAGGACATGAGGGAATGGGAGATCGACCCTTCCAATCTTGTTATCAAGGGTGTCATTGCTCGTGGTACCTTTGGGACAGTCCACCGTGGTGTCTACGATGGTCTCGATGTCGCCGTTAGGTCTGTGGGGAGCATTGTTTTTAGGTTATCTGGGCGATGGTCGTGATCCTTTGTTCACTAGAGGAAGGAGTTGGTTTGGATACACGTAAGGGATGTGGGACAGCTTGTTGATGAAAGATCCCTTTTCCACCGCACACAAAGGAGACCAGGAGCGAGAAGCGAGCAGGGAATGGGGATTTAGCAGAACGTGGAGTTGGGGTTGACGCAATCCAAGTACAAGGTCAAGTGACGGTACATCTCGAGCAAAAAGTTAGAATGTCAAGGTAGCGTTAAAACTCAAATCAACCGATTGACAAGGTGAGTGTAAAGGGGGTAAATTCTACGCTTTACGATTTTCAAGTATTTGTCTTGAGTATTTTCGAGTATTGCTTTACATGAAGTATGTGCAGTAATTGATTCATGTTTGAGATTGCTTGAGTTATGGTTTGAGGTGATTTGTTTGAGCTATGCTTGAAGTGAATGTTTATTAATTACTTTGAAATTTTTACGAGTATAAGTTATTATTAAAGAGTAAGAAACAAGTTCTTTTAAAGAAGTAACTCACCTTAAAGGAGGTGAAGTCGTTTTTAGTCACTAGCGCCAGTCCGTTGCCATTTGAGATTTTCAGATAGAGCAGCAGTTATGCTCTTGAGATCTTTGAGACAGAGCAGCAGTTATGCTCTTGAGACTTTTAAGATGGGCAGCAGTTATGTCCTTGAGAATCGTGGTGAAGAGCCACCACGATAAGTTTAAGATGTTAGGGGGATGAATCGTTACGACTTCCCTAACTAAGTTTAAGTTTAAGAAAAGCCTGGATGGCTTCTCATACGTATGAGTTGGCAACCGGACTAGCTGGTGAGGGGTCCCAGTGTCAGTCTGATAGGACAAAAGCGTAATGCCAATTCCTATCTTGTAGTAAAACCGAAAATCCGGGTATCGTCTCTCAGGGACTGGTACAACCTTTTATTCTATCAGTTTTGTAGAGCAAACTATAGGTGAAAATGGTTTATGAGACTAATTATCTAAAAGCAAAATAAACTAATTAGACAAAGTAAAATGGTCGGGAGAAATTTAATGGAGAAAGCTCTGGGAGAAACACCGGGATTCACTACCTATCCTATCCAGATTAATTCACAGATTCCAATCAATTTAATCCATACCTCTACAGCCAGGATATCACTACTGTGCTAGCAATCCCTGTCGGGAATTACTACGTACTAAATAATCAATTCAAATCCTACTGTCGTAGCTCAATGAATTAACTATATAGTCTGAAGATTGACTCACTTCTACTGACTCACTCTAGGAATTGGCCAAGTGAAACCACTTCCTAAAGTGTAGTATAGCGGGTTTGGGTTTAAATGTCAACCCGGGTCCTAGATTTGATGACTACTCGGTGAATTCTTGTTATCTAGCAATGAAAGTTTAATGCAAGTCTAAACTAACAAACAAACAAAGCAACTAAACGGTTGTATTCAGGTTAAGAGAGGTCACCCGGATATGGTTCCCCCTAGACTGCAGTTAAGCCGGATTGCAATTTACCAAGTTCAGTTTCCATGAAAATTATACTGCGGAAGGTTCTTAAGAAGTCTGAAGTCTCGACTAAAGGTATCCAGACCCTCTCAATCTGAGTCTCCAGCGGGCGACTAACCTCCACCGGAGTAAACAGATTGAGGCCCTACGAACAAAACCTCCACTACCAAAGTGAATTCGGTACAGAATAGTGAGTTGGCTCCTCGACTAAAGTCACCAACTCCCTACCTTCAATCAAGGATGCTCTATCAACCTAGGCAGATATTCTCATTCTAGGTTAAAGCAGAAACAACAGGAATTTGATCAGGATTCATGCCATTCAATCATTCAAACCTCAATTGAATATAATCAAATCATAGAATCAGTACTTGGGTTCATACAATCAAACCTAACATACAAATCTAGGGTTCTCCATACCCAGGTGAATGGGAGAACTACTCCATGGAGAAAGAAGCAAAAGCAGAATCAGACGCGGAATTCATACTGTGAAGGATGGATTCCTGCTCCTGGACGTTGATCGGCACTCCTCCAAGCTCAAGCCAAGCTCCAATGGTGATGAAGATCAAGCTAGGGCACTTGGAGACTCTTGTTCGTCACTTTCTCTCTCTAGGAATCGCTCTGTCTCTCTAAAACTCCCATCCTTTGATTTTCAGCCTTCTTTTCCCTTAAAACTGCTGCCTGTCGCGATACCTGGTCGAAATTCCCGGTCGGGTATTTTGGGTCTCGACCGGGTATAGTTGAAACGCGCGTTTTGCACAGGGGAAAAATACCCGGTCTCATCCAATAATCCCCGATCGGGGATTTTGTGCCTCCAGCCCGGGACCCTCTCTGTTTCTCAGACGCCAAAACAGCAAATACCCGGCCTCCTCAGAATAATACCCGGCCGGGTATTTTTGGTCATGGCCGGGTATTTTCTTCCTCCAGCACACTTCAAGCCTCACTTGCTCCTTTCGACGCGAATCTCGTTCCTTTGCCTCGATTCCAACGCCGGGTCCTGAAATACGACATAAACACACAACCTTGCGTGAAATCGGCTTAAAACCCGAGAGTCAACCTCTCGAACGGCTCAAGAATAGGGGTGAAAACATGTGTAATTATCGGTCTATCAAATTCTCCCACACTTTACCGTTTGCTTGTCCCCAAGCAAACCTAACTCAAACCAATGCAACTCTCCATACCTCTATAGCAACAAACAACTCAGATCGTAGGTAGAGGACTTCCTAGATCATTTAGCAGCTTACGAGGTCAACCGACGCACAAGTCATCTCATAGCTTCTTCGGCGAGAGCACTAGTATCGAGTCGGCATCATGGCAAATAGTGAGCAGAGGACAAATGAATCATGGACGAGTGGACTCTCAAAAACAAAAAAAATCTTGGACTCGCCTTTTTAAGGTGCTCTATGTCCTTCTTGAAGATGGTTGGAACCCCTTTTCTTTCTGTTTTGCTTGTTTTCTGTTTTTTTTTTTTTCAAGGGTCCCAACCTGCTTTTCAGAAAATGGGGGCTCCCACCTAGCAGAGGTTTTGCGGGAGCCCGGCTCTTACCGGCCATGCCAGGAGCAGATGTCTCGAGCCTCGTGCGGGGGAAAGACATGTAAGGGGGCTGGAGGTAGTAGGTGGAAATTGGGAACGGATTCCCGACTCCCCTTACACACTTTCGCCCTATTCGCACGGGAGACGTTATTTCAAAGCACATTTTCGAGCACCTATTATTTTCAAAACATGATACAAGAGTCCATGACAGGTAGAGAGTCCACAACACCACACAATTCAAGGGTCCTAAGATCACTAATTCACTCAATCAACCAAACAGTATGAAGAAGAAATGAGACTTCTTAAATGCATCAACATCCTCCATAGTGCTACACTACCTCCCTAGGTTGCATATTACTATAAAGACTGTCAATTCAATGCATACTGAGCAGGCAATTGCAAGGAACACGTACTTGGAGCCCTCAAATTTAAAAATTTGGACAGTGGACTATGCTCCAAGCACACAAACAGATCTAATGCAGTCAAAAGATAAACATCCCCCCACACTTAAGATCGACATTGCCCTCAATGGAGAAGAGGGAAGGAAAAGGGGAACGATGTTACCGGTATGCACGGACTGCAGGAGACTGGAAGCGAACCAGTCGGAGTGAAGCGGACTGGAGAGAGGACCAGTCAAGACAAGCACAGCTAAAAGAAACCAAAGAGCTCAAACACAATACGTCAGGTCTAATGGTCAGCCCAATAGTACAGCATCCAAAATAAAAAGAAAGAAACTAAACCAACACAAGACAGTTTGCACACTGACAAAAACAAACACACTCAAAACATGTCACTAGGCGCCGCCTCCTAGACCGGTGAAGTCGATCTGGTTCATGAGGTCGTCGTCTCCATCATCCGGTGGTGGTGGTGGTGGTGAATGATCCCACCGGGTGGTCCAGTGGTGCTCCTCTGAGGGGTGGCAAGCCTGGAGCAGGTGCTCCGAGTACTCCATCAATCGGCGGCCTCGATCTCTCTCCCGCTCGATGAGAGCACCCGTGACTCCCATATGGGTCTCTAAGCGGCCGAGGCGATCGTCAACAACCGTCAGCCTGGACTGGAACTCGGCCTGGTGGGCCGAATACTGCTGGTAGAACTGGACCTGATGGTCCATGAGCTGCTGGTTCTGAAGACCGAGCTGCTGGAACTGGAGCCCCATCTGCTGGAACTGCTCCGTGAAGAAATCCATCAACGGGCCAGAATCCATCGACGGACCAGAAGGACCGGAGGTCGACGGACCAGAAGGACCGGAGGAGGACTCACCTCTCCTTGGTCTCCATCGTGGCCGCAGCTCCCCTGGTGGAGAGAGCGGGGGCTCCGGCTCATCTGTATCCATGGCCCCGCCATCATCATCATCATCCTTATCCTCCTCCTCGCCGGAGTAGTCAGCGTCCTCGTCGTCGTCGTCGAGATCCACAGCCTCCTCAGGAGGCATGGAAAGCCCATCTACCTAGGTACGGGTGCCATCAGTCTTCAGGAGGAGGGCATTGTGGAGCACTTCCCGGCTGAGGGGGGTGGAGCTGCCCCGTGCAGAAGAATCATGGAGTCCCTGAAAGCTTATGTCGAAATGGCGCGCCAAACGGGTGATCAGGGGACCACAGTAGAGGTGGTTGGGCTTCCCGTGGCACCGGGAGAAGGTGGTGGCCACGAAAGAGCCCAAGTGGAGCATGGGCTCAGGGTGCCCCATCGAGTACATGGCATACAACACCCGCTTCGGGATCTTATGCGAGCCGGTGACGTTGGGGACGATGGAGCGAGTGATGAGCAGGTTCAGGATGTGCCACTGCGGCTGGAGGGTGCGGACGTATGTCTGACCAGGATCGAAGTAGTCATACCCATGGGGAAGCCTGGCTATCCGGCGGTAGAACTCGTCCTGGTACCAATCGGTCGGGTGCGGGATCTCGACCTCGTGGCGATCGCACGGGTGGTACTCGATCCCCAAGGCATAGGCCAACCCGTCAATGGTCAGCTCCCGGGCGTAGCCGCCCATCCTGAATGTCACTGCATATGAGTCCCGGGGCGCCTTGCTGTCATACTTGAAAGTGGTGTAGAACTCCCACACCAGCTCAGTGTATGTGGGCTCCGCGATAGTCAGCAGCGTGCGCCAATCGGGGTGGCTGATGGCAGCGCGGAGCTCCTGTAGGCAGTGGAGCTGCTCGAACACTGCCCACTCGAGATGGTGGTGGCGCGCCAATTTCCCCTGAGTCACCGCGCGGAACTGGTCCGCGTACTCCGGGTGCAGGCGCAAGTTTTGCACAAATGGATGGTCGAGGGACATGTTCATGCAAAAGCAACAAACCAAAGGTGGAGCCAAGAAAAACTTGTCAGGACCAACAGCATGGGTTCATCACTTCCCCCACACTTAAGGACCACCTAGGCCAACAGTTCTAAGCACAGCCGGCTGAATCTCAAACGACTCAGCCGGAATCAAGGCAAGAAACACAGAACCAACCACAATAAGTACACAGGCAACACAAACACCATATATAGAA